TTTCATTTTTCACTTACTGGTAAGCAGTTTTATGTTCCGCACCGTTCCTTTACGCACCAGCAACTCGCAAAATCGAAGAAAATTATATATCTGGTGAATGTTTCGAATGTAGGGATCTTCGACTACAACTTCTTGAACATTACCCTCCAAGTACTTCTCAAACACGCGTCTATAGCTATATCCAGTGGATCCTTCTGTGATATTGAGTTTCTCGTGAAAAGTTCCCGCCTCTTGCTGTTCCCTGACCAATTTTTTCAGTTTTTCTGCCCGTTCAATGTAGGACTCCATCTTTGCACGGTAGTGTACCTTCTGCGAGTCATCTTTTGTGTCTTTCAGAACGTTCATTAACAAGGCTAGACCTTCTTGATAGCACACTAATGCCTCAGAGTAGCTTTGAGCTTGATCAAGCTCCACAGCTCTGGTTAATACACTCACTGCAGCGTCTAAGCTCATTTCAAAGATCTTCAACGAAATCCTGTTACTGAAACCAGATCTTTTCTTCCGGGTGCATGAGTTTCCTCACTAGAGAACCCCTACGTCACGCAGACACGGTTGAAAATGCGCCTTGATGCACCATAGGCTAGGACAGGTGAAGCTTTCTGGGATGACAAGATGGCGGATTCTACTAGAGAGAGAAAAAAGTCGAAAAAACCATCAAGTCAGTTATTTTTATTTATAATTTATCGCCGAAAAGGGAGAAATTTATTATAATTTCTTACCAATTTATTTCTTTAGACACTAACTTCAAACAGCAAAGACTGAAAGCTTGGCAACCGATTCTGACAGCATCTACGGCACTGCCTTTGTTTTTCACAATTGGAGTGGTGTTTATACCTATTGGAGCAGTTCTTTTAGTAGCATCCGATAAAGTAAGTGTGGTTCATTATTTAAGGGTTATTTCCCTAATAGAGCTGTATTAAAAGGTTGCAAAACTTAAATTATCTTGTAGCTTATGGTGCTCGGAGTACAAAATATATTTGTGTGTTGAAACCATATAATTTGCAGCTTGGCTAATTGATTTGAGCTTTCATTTTGGAGATAAAGCTTTGGGCCTATTTCTACTACCACACCTTCAAAATAAACTTTGATATCGATACTTCTTTAATTTTTCCTCAAGAAACTGTGTTGGTTCATCACCTCTCTTCAACCTGCGACATAGTGTTGTCAGAAAAGAACGAAAGATGGCCAACGCCATGATCCTAATGAAAGATTTAAGTTTATCATTGACTGTATGATCAGTTGTTGTCGTTGTTTTGAAGACTATCAGTTTCATTGTGGAAGCAAATCTAATGAATTCATCCAAGAATTCTGCGGATTAAGAATTGTGATAGGATGGAGATCATTTTTTTTAATTTACTTATTGAGAAAATTGATCTCACATCACATGCGCTGAAACAATCTTGACACAACAGCGCCAAAAGAATGGAAGCATTAATAATACTTTGGTTATAATAATAACTGATTGATAATATAAATTAGATTAGAGTTTCAGGTGTTAGTCCTTCCTCAGAGCAATGTTAGCCCTTTACCTGAGGGCTAATGCTCAAAACGTCAACTTTGAAACTCTTAATGGCCAATTTACATTATCAACTCAGCTGATGATACAAAATTACTCTGTTATACTCTCCCACCAATGCAGAACCACAGTTTCTATGGAAACTTACCCCCTTTACATGATTATAATAGTTCGATTTTGTTGGGCTGTAATTTTTTTATGCTGGAATGTTGTGTTTGCAGTGACATTTATTCTTTTGTAATTTAAGAAACATACCATAGATATGAATAATCATTTTGCGATAAGGGAGTCCTGAGGTAAATTAGAGCACTCTGATTGATTTTTACTTGGTCTGTATTTTGCTATATAAACAGTTTTCGCAGAAATGTTCATAAGCTGTGTACATTTTGTCACAAAAGCTAGTAAATTCAAATAAACAAGTTTGGTCCAAGTGCCACATAGTAAACTACTTACTAACTTCATATGTTTAAGCTGTACTGGGGAGTGTTGGCCCTCATTCTTTTTAAAACATGCTAAGCACAGCTAGGTCCTTTCTGCCACGACCTGAAGCTAATATTTCCCAGTATAACTCTAGTGTTTGATTAACTATTTAATTCCCATGAGTGACTGAGACAGAATTTTTCCTTACAATATCAAAGCAATACCAAGCTGCTGAAGGGAAAGAAGAGGGAAAATATTAATAAGGGGATTATTAGTTTCTCTAATACCAAATTCTTTGCACTAACATTGTAAGAATTGTACAGCATATAGTAAGGAGAATTACTTAAAAGATCTTGGGAGTGAAGGGGTGAGAAGTTATTATCTCTTAAGAATGGGATGATCATGTGAATAATGCTTAAAGGATTTTACATAATAGGTGCAAGAGAAGACTGTGGATTATACATATTGTAAAGCTTCAAGTGGCAAAGGATGTGACAAGTTCTTTGAAAATGTCACAAACACTGGCAAGACCTGTGTCTGTAAAGTGAAGTTTAATCTGTCCCAGGAATTCAAAGGGGATGTGTTTATGTACTATGGGCTTTCCAACTTTTATCAGGTTTGTTATATCTCTCATGTGAATGGCAATTATATTTTATAGTGCAATTAATTCAACTAGAATCACCCAATATTTTCAGCCAATCAAAACATTCAGAACTTCAAAGCAGAAGATTTATAGTCAGGGAATTTTTAGACCAATCACAGAAGAGGCAGAATAAACTGTGATCATCCAGTAATACAAAATAAAATGTCTCTCATTCACTGAGTCATTTATCCAAAAAGCCTTGATCCGAGTGTTTCAAATATCCCATTCCTCTCTTATAGCCAAAGAGTTTGATTAAGAGATGAATTTCGAAACTGAATTTACTGGATCAAACACTCAAATAACTGCTACAGATGGAGGCAAAATTACTAGTGAACACCCCCTATTGATAATTGTCTTATGTGATCAGAAGAATGCAGTGTTTATGCAAGCTGTCTAGAGAAAAGGCAGTTTGGGAATCTTTGTCATCATTATTTATTTCAAAAGCTAGGCAATTATGGTTTTCTTGGTTTTCTTGGAGACACTAGAACTTAAAACATGTTTTTGTTTTACTTAATTCAACCAAATAATGTTTGTCTTGGTCTTGGAAGGAGGAGGTTGATCTTAAATTTTTTAAATCTGCAAAGCTTAGTTCTGCTTTTTTTTACTGATGTAGAATCATCGTCGCTATGTCAGATCAAGAGATGACCTTCAGCTCCACGGAGACCTAGATCATAAAGTATCATCTGACTGTGATCCTTTTGCAGAAGTCAATGGTTCTGCCATTGCACCGTGTGGAGCCATTGCTAATAGTCTGTTCAATGGTAGGTGTTATTTACCTGATAATGATTTTTTTATTGTGCAGCTGTAACCAGACCAAACATACAGTATTACTGTCTGTCAGGAGGCTTATTAGTAGGAACTGGAGTGAATTGGCTCAGTAAGTTTGTGTTTTGTTCTGTCTGTCCATCTGTCTGTCTGGTTCTTGGTTTCTTTGTGATTCAGTACGTATGTCTGTCTTTCTTCTGTCCATCTGTCCATGTAAGTGTCTGTCTGAGTATTTGTCTGCCAGTAGTCCTGTTATATGGTTCATACATGGTTACTGAATTAGAACCCTCCTTTAATGTACACTGTAACTTGTACTGTTACATTTGTTTATGATTCATGTAATGTTGCTTGGTGTTTTGTGAAGTCAGATTGTAAGGAAGTGTTAATCATTACAGACGTATGTAACAGAGTTTACCAAAAGCTGTATGTTGTTGTTGGGTACAAGTATAGCTCACGTTCATATATTAAACAATAGCCTCTATTTAGTGTGAAAATATGTATGGATGTTTGTCCAGGGACGTTATTTGCACCAAGGAGCAAACAGTTCTCCAAGAACAAAGCTAGAGGAAAACTGTGCGCTTCAAGGAACAGATAATGTCCACGGGCAATATCTGTACATATTTTTGCACCAAAATAGAGGCTATTGTGTTTATTGTCCTTCAAATATTTTGCATGAAAAAATGTTTACAAACAGCTTACTGTATGCAGGGCAGGATGTTTTCTTTTGAGTGTTCTCTGGTGCGACTTAATGAACAAAATTCTTCAGTAGCAACCACAAAACCCTCTCTCATCCTAAATTAAAGATGAATCGTAAGATTTAAGATTATCATAAGATTTGAAAATTGGGGAATATCACTCGGATGATATTCTTGGATATCACCCAGTTTTAGCTGGGGAATATTTGGTGGGATATTTGATGTATTTTAATTGCTATTAGCATTATATTTCATTCTGACATATTCTTCTTCTTCTCCTTTCAGATTCTTTTAAACTGACATACCTCAAGAGCGAAAACCAGCAGATCAGTGTTAGTTTGTCTAATAAAGATATAGCCTGGAAATCTGACCGAGAAGTTAAATTCAAAAATCCATCTGGGAACCTCAAGGAGGCTTTCAAAGGTTATGCCAAACCACCCAACTGGCCTAGACCTGTATATGAATTAGACACGAACAACACTGACAACAATGGCTTCCAGAATGAGGATTTCATTGTCTGGATGAGGACAGCAGCGTTTTCAACTTTCCGCAAGCTCTACCGCAAAATTGTCCACTCTGGAGAGTTTAAGAATGGTCTACCAAAAGGCGAATACCAGCTTGACATCATGTACAGTATCCTTTATTACAGTTGCATTAGAACTTCACAGGGGATGAATTTTCTCCATGCAAAGACAGCTATGTTTTGTGTGTCACCACATGTGGTATGGTGTCAACTAAGTAATTTATAGAGGAACAAAGTTTTACTACTTTTGAAAGTGGGGCCATGTGGAAATGTTTAGTTGACACAATGCGCTACACATAAAAATTATTGACCTTTGAACTCTTATGTATATAATTTACTTTTAGGTCTTGTACCTTCATATCTATTAAAGTTTTTTTCTCCACAATTTTTTTTTCCATAGCCAATCAAGGTGTTTTTTTTTTCATAGTTGCTTGCTCAAGAGTCTAAACATCTTCAAGTATTATTATTATTTTTTTATTATAATTGTTAAAGAGTAGTGGTCAATTGACTACCAGTATTAACAGTTCCATTCTGTTTTAGAAGACTTTACATTTGTTATTTTTAGCGCTTGGTTTTCCTTTGATCATGCAATTTCTTTTCAAATTACTTCTTTGACTTGAGAATAATGCACACAGATTTTCCTGTGACTTCATTTGATGGCGAGAAGAGAGTGATATTAAGCACAACATCATGGATAGGTGGGAAGAATCCTTTCCTTGGAATTGCCTACATCACTGTAGGAATTCTCTGCCTAGTTTTGGGAGCATCCTTCTTGATCATTCATCTCAAGTTTGGGAAAAGGTAAGTCTATCGTTCATTTCAATGTGTTGAGAATGAACAATTTTCAATGAAACATTCACGAGCATAAATTATGTTCTGTTGTTATCTACTGTCTGTTCACTTTGGTCCAACCACTGTGTCTA